CCCCCTTCCCAAACCCACCCACTCCGTCCGCCATTCGCCGGGTAAAAATGATCCAATCCCGAGTACAAAAATACCTTTCGTGAGCTGATGCATATCCAGGTTAGTGGAAGACGGCAAGAAAATTGTCATTCATCTCATTCATTACAACTGAACTTCCTTGAAAAAATAAAACATTATCTTATATTTCACTTTCGTTATTTTTTCTTAATTCTAACTTACTCTTTCTTTCCTGCCTCTAGAAATTTGGATGGTTTGTTGGGCTGTTGCCAAAATAAAGCCTTTTATTGTAGGAACCATTCCTATCCATGAATAGCGGAGGCGGCGCTGACCTTAGAGGGGGAGTGTGCGTTTGTAACGACGATAAAAATCCGTTGCAAGGCTGCTAGACGATACGAGCATTTGCGAACTGAACTGAGATAGCGTTAATAACAAGTTGAAAAGTTGCTTTAAAGATGGAAAGCTTTCAAAATACTTGAATAGAGGTCAATGGCGTGGATGTATGAGAGGTTGCGTGCAGGAATTTTGTCATGATGTGTAATTTTGACTGAACTAGAGGCGAATCATATCGTAAGAAATCGAGCGCGCTTCAGTGAAAAACCTTTCCTAATTTAAAGTACCAGCAATACTCCAATACGCGAAACTCGCTCGATATTGAAACAAATGTCAAGAAACTTCACAGACACCTAAACATAAAATCAAGAAGCAAAGTAATCCCTTCACGATAAGTCAACGTTAATAGCTAGATTGGGCTACCTGAGGATAAATTTAGTTTCATTTTTCAATGCACAATAACGAGGCTAAAAATATAATTGAACATTGGTTATTATATCCAAGATGTGCTTTTGTCTTACCGTGCTTATTTTGAAGCCAAAAATGAAGCAAAAATAACCAACGTTATTTGTTTTTGTTACATTTTTTATTTGGAAGTCGAAAATGGAGCTAAAATAACCAACGTTATTTGTTTTTGTTACCTTGGTTATTTGGAAGCCAAAAATAAAGCTAAGATAACCAACGTTATTTGTTTTTGTTACATTGGTTATTTGGAAGCCAAAAATAAAGCTAAAATAACCAACGTTATTTGTTTTTGTTACATTGGTTA